GCATGCGTCGTACGCTAACATCTTTGAGGGCTCCCGTTAAGTCACGCCCGCAACGCCCGCAAGCTTTGCGTACGGTATTCTAAAGTTTTGTAATGATAGCGCGTCTTTGACGCGTAAACGCCGCAAATAAAGTAATTTAATTATTCAGTAAGAACGCCCAGTAGTTAAGGTTCCGTTATCGGAGCCAAGCCTCTCCAACATTTCTCTTCCGACGTCGTGGCTTTCGACGTACGCGTCAGGAGAGGTTTTCTTTTTTTTTTTTTTCGAAGCAACGGGTATTTCAACGTGCTTCGTGACCGAACGCGCCGGCGCGCTTCCTCGCTGGCCCCGGAACCCGGCAGCTGTCTGCGAAAACGCTTTCGCCTGACCGATGACTCATACTCGTCTCCGTTCGTAGAAGGATGCTTCTCCCGCAGCTGTCGTATGAGCGTGCGAAGTGCCGTTTCGACGACACGATCCCAGCGGCCCGTAGAGGCAAGCCTGGCGTCCGTACAACGCTGTCACGTAAATGTAGGTCAGCGGAAGTTTTGGTCAGGTCAGGTCAATCAATACCTTGCCCGTACCGAATCAGGTGACCTTCTAGGAGGCGCGGTGGTCCCGCGTGCATTGCCCCGCTTCTTCCGTACATACGTTTCTTTTTGCTATTTTCTCCCGCTGCCCTTGGAAATTCCCCGTGAAGTTCGTTAGTTGTCCCCAGTATAGCGTCACTTATAAATGGAATTTCCCGTACAGCTGACGGGAGCCTTTGGGGCGAACGCGCACGATGTTCAATATAGCGCCCGAACTAACCGCCTTGTTTGTTGGAGAATAAAGGTCATGCCATTCGCGAGAAAAGAAGGCTTCGCGGTGGCTGATTAAGCGCGTACATACTGATGCGAGGAAACGTCGAGGCCCGACGTTAACATTTACAGCTTGATTAAGTTTACCCCACAGTATTTTTCCCACAGCATGACACCCTTTCGTCTGGTTGACAGCGGTATCATTTTCTTTTTGTTGATTCCTTCGCTGAGTCTTTTTATTAATTCCGTTATTTTCGAAGCTGCTAACGAAGTTGTTATGTTTTGCGGTAGTAATTGCGAATTGTGCCCTTTCCTTAACAGTTCAAGTGACCTAAAGGACGACCGACCCGCTTACGCGACTTCTCTTATTTTTGTTCCTGTAAAGCGTGTTTTTTGTTTTGCTGTAGAGCTTTGCAGTGAAGAAAGCCACGCGAATCGGAAGGCGCACTTGCGTTTCGAAAAAAGGAAACGGCAGCCACACATGCTCCTGTTGAAGCCACAGTTCCGCCTAAGTGCAGTGCACTAAAGCAAGAAAAGCAGAAAGGAAAAAAAAGACGTTAAGAAGAATGAAAAAAAAAAGAAGTAACGCAAAGTACTGGATGAAAGGAAGAGGTGAGGTAATCGAAAAAACGCAGTGTGGCGGGTGGATAAGAAAAAAACATAATTAACGCTCAAACTACACAAATCCCAGAGGAAGCCGCCCCAATCACAGCTGCTCGGCCTGACGACTGCACGCCCTTGAAATATGTATTTCCGCATCCCTCCTTTCAATGGCACCCTGGTCGAGCAGGCGCGAACAGCTGCTGCTGCAACTAAACACTCCTCGCTCCTGCACAATTGCGTTTCCTGTTAAATTAGCGTATGACGCAGAATTGGGAGCGCTGTGCGATTTTACTTGTTTTGCGCGTGCTTCATACTCCTGACGACAGGATTTCGTTCTCCGACGCTGTGTTTAATTAGTGCTGCTTGTTTGAGAAAGAGAGAGAGAGAGAGAGATAGTGTGTGTGTGTGTGTGTGTGTGTGTGTGTGTGTGTGTGTGTTTGCATGGTTGCACTCATATTTGTTTTGATTGCTTCGAACGTGAAAACGTTTTAGGAAAAGAAAGAAAGAAAGAAAGAAAGAAAGAAAGAAAGAAAGAAAGAAAGAAAGAAAGAAAGAAAGAAAGAAAGAAAGAAAGAAAGAAAGAAAGAAAGAAAGAAAGAAAGAAAACAAATGAATTGGATTATTGATGCAGAGATGCTAGGATGCGTCGCCAAGTGGATAAATTTGCTAGCGGTGAGAGCTTGTGATTGGAATGTAGACAGAGGCAGAGGCGCGCACTCGGATCAAACAAGCGGCAGGCGTTCCAGACAGGGAGCGGCCTTGGCATCGCAGTGGTTGGCCGGCGCAAAAGCGCAAACACGCGCGTCACTGTTGCCGTGGCAACGGCAGTAGAAAATGCCGGTGAAGCTGTACGAAAGGAGAGATGACGCCGGGGCCTACACTCTGTCTTTTCTCTCTCGCCTCTTTTTTTTTTTTTTATTCCATGCGCCACGTAGCACACGCTGAAAATGCGATCATCGTCGCAAGAAAAAGAAAGAAGAAAATGAAAAAAAAAACGGATGAAACGACATTTCTCGGTGCGTCAGAACACTCCTCCGGACGCTGGCAGCGCGGCAAAGCTGTCAAGCACCGAGGATAGAGTTGTGTTATGGCTGACGTCATCGCTGAAAACAACGTGCTCCACGTTCGTGTTCCGCCGCTTCATTTCTCGCGCTTTAGCGGCACTCTATTTTTGACATCCATGCGCTGACATATACTGGAAAAGACATGTTTACGCATTTTAGTTGGGTTATGATCAGTTCCTTACCTCGAGTGGCGTGATGATATTGCAAACCATGCTTTTAAATGCGAAGCATTTCTTAGCGAACTTTGGTGACCTTAAGCGTATCTATCTATCTATCTATCTATCTATCTATCTATCTATCTATCTATCTATCTATCTATCTATCTATCTATCTATCTATCTATCTATCTATCTATCTATCTATCTATCTATCCGCCTATGACTTTTAGCTTTCCTGGCCGTTTCGATAATGGTATCGATACCGAAATTGGTATGCGAGAACATGACTGTACGACGAGCGTAGTTGAGTAGTCATGACATTCATGACATACATGTCATGGTTTTTATGTTATTATTTACATTTTATGGTCTTGCTGCTCTTGCGATGATTTCGTTTACATGACGTTTTTCAAAACTGGTATAGTATGTCATGACTGCATGGCAAACAAAAGTGACAGACCCTAACATGGAAATCATGACATGCATGTCATGTAAGTCATGAGTCATTACTACATGCCACGCTCATGATGCGCTCACGGCCGTTTCGCTAGCTTCACATATACCGAATTTGGTATTACGGGACGTGAATGAATGACGAAGGTATGTGACTGGTGCAAACATGATAATCATGAGGTGCGCGTCACGTAACAACATGATTACATGCCACGCTCATGATGCGCTCGCGGCCGTTTCAGTAGCTTCACATATACCGAATTCGATATTATGTGACGCGAACGGGCGGCGAAGGTAAATGAGATGCCCTAACATGATAATCATGATATGCGTGTCATGTAAAACGCGACTACATGCTACGCTCATAGCGTGCTCACCGTCGTTTCGCTAGCTCCACATGCACAAAATTTGGTATGACGTGACGTGAATAGATGATGAAGGTAAATGACGCGTCCAAACATGATAATCATGATATGCGTGCCATGTTAAACATGAGTAGATGCTACGCTCATAGCGCGCTCGCGGTCGTTTCGCTACTTCTACATATACCAAATTTGGTATAAGGTGACGTGAATAGACGGTGAAGGTACATGACACGTCTATACATAAGAATTATGACATGTAAGTCATGAACGGCATAATTTACGTCCGCCTCGTGACGTTGTGCGGATTTGAAAGGGCCTGAAACTACGCAGAGGCAAAAATGTAGATGTGGCGTTCCAGTTGTGTACGAGTGTGCAGTTGATTGATTGATTTATATGTAGGGTTTAACTTCCCAAAACCACCATATGATTATGAGAGACGCCGTAGTGGAGGGCTCCGGAAATTTCGACCACCTGGGGTTCTTCAACGTGCACCGAAATCTGAGCACACGGGCCTACAACATTTCCGCCTCCATCGGATATGCAGCCGCCGCAGCCGGGATTCGAACCCGCGACCTGCAGTTCAGCAGCCGAATACCTTAACCACTAGATACGAGTGTGCAGTGAACGCTGGTGGAATTTCACGCGTTTCCCCGTTTCGCTCATTCCTTCGCTAGGCGGCGTTCGCCGGCTCGTTCGACCACCTCATTTGGTGCCGTTCCTCAGCGTCCCAGGTGGAAATTCTACGGGCGCGTGCATGTGCTAGCAGAAAACATGCTTTCTGTTGCCCAATTACAGCGTCTCTGGCACGCAGCGTCATTTGTATTGTATACGCGGCGTCAGTTGACGTGATGCCAGCGTTTCTCGGTACAGGAAAGGCACGGAGAGCAGCACGCAAGCGTCTGTTGGCGGTTCACGGGACCTCTAACGTGACATATCAACCTTCCTCATTCGTGCTTCGCATATCGTCGATTCCCACTGTACGTGGGATCTGCCAATTTTTTTATTGCGTTTGATTCTCATTATAGAAGCTCGATTATCACTAGCCGTCTCTAAAACGGTTACAAGTAAAAAGCAGTGCGTCTCTTCACAGTCAATACATCCCCCATCCAGCCAATCGCGTCGCTGCGTCAACGTGACGTCACCTGCCACTTTGTGACCCCTTTGTGCCGCTTTGTGATTCATTTCGTGAGCGCAGCGCGAAAGCGGTCGACCGCGACGTCGAGATGACGTGGTGACGCCGTTGGCTGGAGTAGGGTGCTTCGACGGCAAAAAGCCGCACTGATCGAGTCCCGACTCGTAGCATTTTCTAGTGGCATCGTCAAGTAAGGTATTCTGTTCAAACTACTACATGGTTCTTCTTCAAGTGTAGTGCTCTGAAGGAATGTGCTAAATGGGGATAAGCTCGCTCGGGGGGCAAAGGTAAGTTGCCTGCCGAATGTGAAACCAAAGAAAATTACAACAGATTTCAAATAATCTAATGCATTGGATGCCCAACATAATCAACAATTTCTAGGGTTCGTTTGCTGGTGCTGTTTCGTTCTCAGCATTCACGCAAACTTGAATTTTTTTTTCTTACAGAACACTGCACACTAGCTGCATCCAGAGGCTGGCAACATGGAAAAGAAGACGTCGGGGCCGAACGTGTTTACCTTGGCATTCCTGGGGAGTCGCAATGGATGCCGGGAAAACGCGTCTGCTTTCACAGCACCCCAGGCAGTTCCCATCTGCAAAGAGGTGAGAGTCAGAACCGTGTCGAAAGATAAAACAATAACAACAACAACAAAAATACGCGAAAAAAAAAACGAATGCTATGAGTCCTGACATACCTTCGACGACTACAGGACTGAAAGTGGACATAATTGAACGCATCCACAAGATGTCGAGAAACGCTGTGTATTGAAACACTGTGTATTTAGTAACACTATATGTAGAAATTATAGGTAGCTACTCCATTTTGAAATTCCTGCACCGAACTCCGCGACATCATAGATTCTAAGGGCTTTTCACTAGGTCCTGCCTAGTTAGCGATCAGTAAAAGTAAACCGCGTTGTCCTCTGGAGAGGCCAAGGGCTTAACTTTTCACGTTTCAAAAAAATTTGTTGAACCAGCGTCAGCAAAAACTACGAGGCAGTTTAGGATAGGGTAAGGAAAGATAGCATTCGATGCGTGTTTGCTCTATTTTCGTCGCATAACGTAGGTACCCAAGGGGATAGCGTATGACGCATGCGCAGAGGTGACAAACGTTAAGTCTTTGCGCACCCCATTCTAGAACTGCCTATCCTTTCAAATCGGTAGCGTCACGAGCAGAGGTTTGGGCATAATATTCAAAAATGAGACTGCGACCTTCGTTTTCTCCTTCATTAAGAACACGGTATGAATAAATCCACCTCATTAATGTTCTGGGAGTACAGTTGGCTATATTATTTCACGTTCACGTGGTACAATGAGTCGTCACTTGGTACATGGAGTAGCGTGTCAGTTGAAAAGCCAGGCATAATTCTCCAGCTCTCCCTTAAAATAATTATATCTCTTTGTTCAGAAACTTGATAGCGCAGAAGCAAACACGAGGGAAGAGAAAAAAACGGATGCAGACAAGTACTAGCACTTTTCTGCGTCCGTTCTTTTTTTCGTTTATTGATTGATTAAAACTTTATTTTTGTCCTGAGAAGACGCAGGGGGGACCCCACGCCACCCGTCTAATCCCACGTTGGGACCGTCAAGCCGAGCTTGGCGGCCCGTTCACGGGCACTCTGGACGGCCAGGGTTTGATCGTAAGAGCGCTGCCCACCTGTCCTCGCTGAGGGCGGATCCGATAGCTTCACATGTACTGTGTGTTTGCTTCTGATCAGAGTTTCTGATCACCGTTTCTGATCAAAGTACCGACTAGCTCGATCTGCCACGCTTATCAATTCTATTTAGTGTCCCATTAAGGCGAAGCTTACACGAGGCATATTTGTTCCGTGCCTGCTCTCACGTAACCAGGCTGAAGACAACGAGGAGTCCTCGTGTACGACAAGCGGTCTCGGAAGCCAGCAGGACCTCGCCGGTGTCCCTAGCAGAGGGAAGTGGGCGGGCAAGGCGGACTTCATATTCGGCTGCATCAGTTACGCCGTCGGCCTCGGCAATGTCTGGCGGTTCCCGTACCTCTGTTACGAGAACGGAGGTGGTGAGTTCACCATACTATTCTCACTCGTTCCTATTACAGTAGCGTGCATAACACTCGCGTCTAAAGCGAGTATATTAAGCTGCTCTGTCTCACGTGATCTCTTAGGTTGCGCATTATTCAAAGACCACTTGTAGTCATTACATTTGTATAGCATGGTAGGTTTTTTTAAGAAGCACAACTGTCATTGTCACGGCAGCATACGGACATCTTTATTTTTACGTGATGTCTTATTTGTGAAACTTTTATACTCGTGATTGTGCGCGCGACCTGTGAAGTATTAGAACTTTCGACTGATTTATTTATTTATTTATTTATTTATTTATTTATTTATTTATTTATTTATTTATTTATTTATTTATTTATTTATTAGAATATCCTCAGGGCCCGTAGGGCATTACAGAGGGGGTGGGTACAACATTTTATAACACACAAAGGAATAAAGACAGGAAAAAAAAGACAAAGAAAAGAAACAAGTGTCAGATGCGCAAATCACGAAGGCAACATAAATCAACTAAAAATGTATAAGTAAGAATTCAAGCACATACAAGACAAAGATAGATAATGGAAACTGCGTATAGTTACAAACATTGCTGAGAAATTGCAGTCTTGAATAACAAAGGGTCTGTTATTGTTACAATACAAAGGGTCTGTTATTGATTGATTGATTGATTCAGACTCGGCGCTTTTGGCATTGCTGTATTTCCTTCAACAGGCTGCTCCCTAATAAATGTCAACGTGACTGCGCCGATCAAAAATACATCGCGTCTGTGTTAATCAGGCGCGGGTAATCGCACAAAAAAAAACATTTTGAAATTCCGCCAGTTTTGCCATTTGAGACAATCAGAGACGCTGCAGCGGCCCTCGGATACAATTATGAAAATTGATGAGAAGGAGAATCCAATGACGTGCTTGAGTTTGACTGTACCGAGAGCAGAATTTGGATAATGCACGTCACGTATTGCGCGAACGTGTAGGACTCTGAACGACACCCATTCCGACGGTGGAAAGTGTTAGGCCAGAATATTCGCTTTCCCCTTGCGATTCCGAGTCGTTTCTTCCCTTCGCGACAGACGTGCTGTACCGGCTACCACGTGCCGATTGCGTGCACTTCGCTGTGTGATCGCCTGTAAAGCGATGCGTGGTTTCGGTAAGAAGAAACCGCAGCAGTGTTGCATGACACGTACAAGAGATAATCGCCTCAGCGGAACGTGCCGTTCCGGAAAATTCCCTTTACACTGATGTGGAACAAAATGCTCAAATAACGGTGCTCTCGCGTAATCGATATACGCAAGACATTTTATCCTCGCAATAAGCTTGGGGCATGCCTTACGTATTTTTTTGTTGTTTTTGGCTTCCGTTGCTACTGCATAGAAAAGTGGGGAGGGGGGACGAGTTTCACGAGAAAAAAAGACGCAATTTCTGCAGGCCTAGTTGGGAGCTCGGCTAATAAGCCACATGCTGCGCAATTATATAACACACTTCGTTGTTCTATTCCTTCTTCATTAAATGCACAATACTGAAATAATCCGACAACAGAAAGACCTGGCTTTCTAAAGATGGCAGGTTTAAAAAATAATGACGGAAAGAAAGTATAGCGAAAACGAAGCCTGACAAAAGTATATAACATAATGATAAAACACTACTAGAGTAAAGTAGTAGACAAATGCGATAAAGAAAAAGGCATAAATATTACAAGAACGCAATAATGGATAGGCAATGTGAGCACTGAGAAAGCAGCCGCTTAGAAATAATTTATTAAGGCAAAAGCCTAAATGCCTCATCAAACTTGAAAATTGACCTTGGCAGTGATGGCTGCAGCACGAAGGATACAAAAAGTTATGTCACTATGGCGTCACTATGACGTCACATGAGGGCGTCTTAGCGACATGACCGCTTAATCAAAGGTCAGCCTATCACGGAGGTGGCGCAAAACCGGGTGAAGTTCAGGACACCTGCAATGCCTTTGATAGCGCAGGTATTGCAAAACTACTGTAGGACTAACTTTCAGCCTGGAGGTATTGCAAAACTACTATAGTAGTGAAAAGCTTTCAGGTGGAGGTGGGAGAAGATCAAATGTAGGGCACCCCACTCCTTCTGTTCTTTTGATGCGATTCAAACCAGTGCTACTCAAATTAATGCAACGCCATTTTAGGTATTGTACGGGCAACAACAGAACTCTCTGTTAGTAATGTTATGTTAGTAATGCAGGGCATTGCCATACAAACAGAAAGTGTGGCTAAAGAATATTCTTGAACCCCTTTCTAATAGTGTGCCTTACTCTCTCTTTTCTTTTTGTGCAGGTGCATTCCTCATTCCATACTTCATTTGCCTCATCACAACAGCGATTCCCATGTTCTACCTGGAAGTAGCCATGGGCCAGTACCTGAGCAGAGGTGGCATAGGAATCTGGGGCATAGTGCCCATGTTCAAAGGTACGCTTGCAAGTGGTGTCACTTGTGTCAGAGTATTCATTAGTTAACACCATAGTAAAAAACTTATGCGAGAGGATATTTTGGGCAACACTTTAGTAAACTGTCATGAAGGAACAAGTGGAACAAGCTCGTGGTTACAGAACAAGGGGTCCGTCATTTTCGTCCTGTTGTGTGGGTGCGTTGTTGACTGTGGTTCACACAATTAGCTCACTGAATTTCAACTCTCAGGTCTTCTATTTAATGCTACTGCTCTTTTTTTCTGATTTAACACACATTATTTTATTTTTTTTTCTGTCTTAAGATCTGCACTGTTTACCTTGGTATTATTAACCAACTGCTCTATTTTGCGGTATCATGCTCTAAGGCAAATATATAGCTCTAATGTGGTACGCCTTATTGCACATTGTACTTGCATTGTACTGTTGCACAGTCTACAGTAACCTGTAGAATCATTTGTCTTTGGAAAGCTAAAATTCAACATTTTTACTGAAAATTACATCTGCAGGTTTTTCGAAGCTATAGAAAAACAGGATGCTTCGTTTTTGTGACTTTATTTGGAAAATTCGTATTTACAGACTGATCAAGCATAGCATGCATTATAGTGGAGCACATATTGCTCTTTGCTGTGCTGTTGCAGGTATCGGGATCGCGTCGCTAACTATCGTGACACTATCCAACATCTACTATATGGTGATCGTGGCATGGATCCTGTTCTACCTGATCTCGTCTTTCACCGAAGTGCTTCCGTGGAAACACTGTGGCAATCACTGGAACACTGAGAACTGCTGGGAGTACAACGAGACGCATGCAGCACCACACAATAAATCGGTTAGTCCGATTGTGGAGTTCTGGGAGTGAGTACACCATTCATACAAACTATATGTCTCTTTTGTTACAATTGGTCCGAGCTGAATGTCAAGGAAGCAGGACTTGTGACTCAACAGTTGCCCTTTTAAATTCCTTTCTTATGGACATTTAAAAGCTCATTGCTATTCACAACCATGACTTTAAATTAGCTAAAATGTATACAGGAGCCCTGTGAGAAGGCTCACCGTTAAATTTTGTTGCCAATACAGTATGTGCGAAACCTTTTGCAATGACAATGCTACCCAATCTTGCCACAGAACCAAATACTTATCTTTGCTTTTCTTCTTTGTCTTTTGCCACATTTGACACTTTCAGAAACCATGTGCTGGGTATCTCATCAGGGCTGCACGAGATTGGCAATATGCGTCTTGAACTGGCCCTTTACCTGTTCCTGTCATGGTTCATTGTGTACGTTGTGATTTGGAGAGGCCTTCATCAAAGTGGCAAGGTAATGTCATTTTGAAGAATATCACCTAACATGCCGAAAGACCTCTTTTGAAATGATCAGGGCCTGAGAACATAGATTGTACATTCAAAAAGAGCCTCATTTGTTCTCAATGTATACGAATTTGGGTTACCATGTCTTACTGCAGTTCAATTTCGTAATGTAATGAAGCATGCTAGGAACAGAATGATCTAAGTACTGTACGAGAAAACGTACCATGTTGGGCTCATATCGTGTCACTGAAATATTCCAAGTCAAATAAGGCAGAATTTCAGGAGAAAATAAAAAACTGAAGAGATGAAAAAATACTTGAGCACTCTGTGTTGCTCCAGCCAACGTTCTGACAAGTGATCTAGTCTTCTTGAATGCTTCAACAAATAGTGAATATTTTTTTATTCCTTTCAGTGTCTAAATCTCTGGGTTTAAGTATTGTTAAAAGCAATCTTTGTCGAGTGAAGACAGCAAATACTGTGGAACCTTCTTACCAGACAGAAATATTTAGTATTAAATTAGTTGTCCAACTAACTCTGGCATCTGGCTCCTAAAAAAAAAGCTGGGGCTTAAGTCCACAAAAATCAACTGTACACTGTATCTACAGGAGTGCCTTCAAATTTATTGAATTGAATTGAATTTTATTCGCCAGAAATATACACAGCAATCGATAAGTATATGAAAAACATCTTGATTCTTAGCATGAGGCTAGTTTGAACCCATACAAAAATTTTACAGGTATACATATACAAAACTGCAACTTCAACAGGCTAATTATTGTTCTAATTATAACAAATATTGTTACATAATGCAAGTTAAGCAAAGGTTTCTTATACAATGCTTTCGTTGTCCAGTAATGCTTTTCAGTGTAAATATGTGTCAATACAATGTATATTATGTGACAACAGGAGAAATGCAACTTTTTTTCTATGCAATAAGCGAAAATCATTCCATGCCACTTTTGCAAGCCAAAATCTTTCGTCATATCTCTCGTGATTTTAAGTTCACCCTTATTCACTCAATCATCTACGTCTTTGCAGATTGTCTGGGTGACGGCCATCTTTCCCTATGTTTGCCTCTTCGTGCTGCTTGTAAGAGGCGTCACATTACAAGGCTCAATCGACGGGCTCTTGTTCTACGTCACGCCGGACTGGAGCCAGTTGCTCAAGCCAAAGGTGAGAAAAAAGCCCAGCATCATTTGGCTAGGCAGCTTTCCTCTTACCCCTTCCCCCCCCCCGAAAAAAGCTGCTATAGCACTCATGACAACTAATCCATGCTGTCCCGTTTGTCGCACATTTTTAGTAAGTACCAAATGTTACTGATATTGTTGCAGCTTGTTATAATATGCCTCTCCAGTTTTTTTTTCTTCTTTCTCTTCCGGTGTGTTCTTCGTTCAGGTGTGGATTGCTGCAGGCACTCAGGTGTTCTATACTTTTGGGATTGGCGTTGGCTCGGTGGTGACGCTAGGTAGCTACAACAAGTTTCACCAAAATTTCTTCAGGTTAGAGTCCACGCCCACTTTTATCACCTTGGCGCACTTCGACGTTTCGAATCATCATCATGTTTTTTCGACTGCTTTCCTCCTTACCCTCGCTCGCCATTTTTCATCATGACTCACTGATTTCTACTGCACATGAAGTCGCATTTATTTTAACTATTTGTACTATTTACCACTGAACAGGAGCATCTGTGTTGAATGGCAAGTATTTGTCAAGAAGTTGTATTGCTAGTTCTACTCATTTGTTGTGTTTCTTTCAGCACCTTTTTACTTGCTTTGTAAGAGTTCACTATTATGGTGACATGTCTTTTTTTAATTTCCAAACTTTTGAAGCCATACTCAGAGTTTCAACCTGATAAGTTGGCAGGACACATGCTTGTTTGGTCTGATTGACCTTTATGCAGACCAGCAGTGTTGTTTAAGGGACTAAATTGAATTTACATTCATATCGGTAGTAACCCACTTAAATAGATGCACTTATTTAATTACTGAGCTGTTGGACTTACACCATGCTGATTACTCAATAATGGCACAATAACAAGTGCATCGGCTTTTTGTTTTCGTATGTCAGTGAGATTGAGTCATGAACATAACAAGTGTGCATAGTGTCTGTCATGCTTTAAGATACAGATTGTATTTCATGGTTTGTCCTGAACATTAAATTCTTGTCAATTCTGCCTTCACATGAATATTACTGCAGATTGCTAGATGTGGTTTGATATCACTGTGTCTCCTGCCTAAAATAGAGTATTGGCAAATGCAAATAGCATGACATAGACATAATGCAGATTTGTCAAATCACTCAGCTTTCTACTGCTGGTTTCACTGGTTTTAGATCAGTAGCGTTTGATATTCAGAAACCTAGAGCAACAATTTTGTGCTATGTGACCTGTCACTTGCTGCCATTGTAACATTAACATCGTGTGAGATACATTACACATTACTATGACATTACTTTTGATTATGATGAATGTGCATTGTACAGCCATATTTTGAATAAGTCATGATTCATGCTAAGTCTTACTGCCAGAGGGAGCTAAAAACTTCCTCTGTTCTGGCATCGATAAAATCTTATTATTATAGCTTCTCAGTCATTGTTCATCATTGCTTTATTGCCATATTCACGTCTTCCTCACGAACGCATTGAAGCAGAACAACTTTTTTGAAAAAATTTCTTGTTTGCTTTCTTATTGCCTATTCACAGGGACTCGGCAATAGTTTGTTCCATCAATCCCCTGACAAGTCTTCTAGCCGGAACGGTTCATATTCTCTGTACTCGGTCACATGGCTTATGTAGCTGAAAAATCAGTTGGTGATGTAGTAAAGTCAGGTAAGAAAGCTTCTAAAATTGTTTTGCATAATGAGCACATTCTTTTACACATTAAAAAGTAAACATGTTTCTAAAATGTGACATCAATCACTCATTATGACACTACAAGTACGGTCTGTACGAGGTTCTGAAATATCACGCAGCTGCTCAGAGGACATGACAAGCATTTATGCCTGCAACTTCTTCTAATGCAGCTATAAGAAATGTGACGACAATGTTATTATTATGACAATATGGATGTTGGGCACATTCTTCGTCCTAGCTGCTTTGAGACAATGTTTAACACTAAATGCATAAAAATATGTATTTTTACTGCTCACAAATTGATATAGTATATGATGCCAAAGCTTGATGATTGATTTGTGGGGTTTAACGTCCCAAAACCACTATATGATTATGAGAGACGCCGTAGTGGAGGGCTCCGGAAATTTCGACCACCTGGGGTTCTTTAACGTGCACACAAATCTGAGCACACGGGCCTACAACATTTCCGCCTCCATCGGAAATGCAGCCGCCGCAGCCGGGATTCGAACCCGTGACCTGCGGGTCAGCAGCCGGGTACCATAGCCACTAGACCACCACGGCGGGGCGCCAAAGCTTGATGAGACTTTGAACCTCCCCCATGATGACTATGGCTTGCACTGACCAACTCTGTCATTATGGCAGGTTTATTACACAAACACCCTGAAACAGTGACTATGTAGATTTCCTTCACTGCAACTAAATTGTCACAGTGTTGATTTATAATCTGGAAGTTCTATGTCTAGTTTGCACCAGACATGAGGCTTCTTTCTTTAATTCTTACTTTTATTTTATTTGTACATGTAAAATTTCAAAACATCATTTTGTTTTTCTTGGCTGCCTACATACAGGTGTGCCTGAGCAAAGTAATAAGAAAGTACGGCCGATTCAGTGAGTTTCAAATGAACTAGCCATGAACCATTGTGTGTGTGCATTTTTTACATCTTTTGTGAAAATATCTTCTTGCATGTGTCTTAGTTTGCACAAATTAAATTTGGCAAATACACTACTTATTCATAACTGTGGTTCAATTTGAGATGCGTTGTCTACTTAGTGTACTGTTTGCCTCCAGTATGTCTTAAGGCAGCACTTCTTGGCATTATTGGCTTACAAAAACATTTGATAAATAGGGTTAGGTTGAGTAGATCAGATGAATGTGGCTAACTACCAACTTTCTAACTTTTTTTCTCCTGCTAATCTCTTTACAGTTCTGCCCTTCTGAAGCAATAGTGGCTGGTATAATCGACCAATGGCCGCAGCTGATCACTCGACGAAAGCTCATTACGTTCCTTATGGTCGTGTTCCAGTTTCTCCTTGGGCTTCCTATGGTCACACAGGTACGTCAGTCACACGCCCACCGATTTTCTTAGCTTGCGAGGATTCAAAACGCACTTGTGAAACCTACTTGATGCTAGCGCACCTTGCGGACAGTCTTCAGATAACTTTAAGAAATATAAGCGCACCAAAACTTACAGCTACAATGCGTACACACAGCTAATGGCCAGCCCAACAAGTATGATTGCAAGGACAGTTCTAGTGGTCACATTTTACTGCAAACACTGGAATGTCAAAGTACTGCTAATTTTATTACATCATCAATGATAGAGCAATTACATGGGTGCAATTATACCGTAGCCATTGTTTTCCGGAGATAGCCAGCAGGCCAAAGTTGTAGCCCTCCACTACAGCATCTCAAATAGTCATATCGTGGTTTTGGAACATGAAACTCCATCAATTAGTATTATTACGTTATTGGTTTCATAAGTATGCAAGCGTGGGCCGAAAAGAATAGCGAATGGATGCACGTAGACTTCCCCCGTGATTAGCAAATGGCTGCACATTGTGTGCTCTGCATGATTAAAATTCATTCTTAACTGGTGCTTTGCATGTCTGGGCTAATATCATTGTGAATGCAAGGGAAAAGTGGGCCTACAGTCGCAGTCGCTTTGTGTGGGTTGTTTATTTTCATGCATAGTGTTGGCAGCCATGATACCTCAAGATATCCCAATTAAGTGACACAACTGCATGCCTTTACTTGCCCCTTCCTCTGCTGTTGATGACACCATCATTTTGACAATGAGTCTTCACTCTGAGCGAGCGAGATATATCTGTCCAAGAAAGCTTGTTGGCTTGTTATACTATCAAAGCACTATATATCAAAATTGGGCTAAAAAATTTACAGATATAATAAAGTAAATACAAATTCAGTGCTTTTATCAGAATGTATCCAGTATCTGCTTATAATAAATATTTCAAGGTGCATATTTTTGTGTCAATACAACGCCAATATCAAAGGCCCACGTGTATGCTTGGAAAGCTTTCGCTGAAGCATTTTGATGCCTCTTAAGTTTCCGTAAGTAATATTTGTTAACATGTCTCTTACTCGTTTTCTTCCTACAGGGTGGCATGTACCTTCTACAGTTGATGGACAACTATGCTGTCACTGGCATCACATTGCTATTTATAGTGTTCTTCCAGGCCGTCGCACTTTCATGGATATATGGTGAGTACATAAGCATAATTAACATTTCGTTATAAATTCAAGTCCTTTTCGTTCTCTTGTAAGCTGACAATGCCTCTGTCTTCATTTTTTTTACAGGTACCAGCAACATCTCTGATAATATCAAGGAAATGCTTGGGCGTCGCCCAAGTGCCCTATTCCGGTTAAGCTGGTCCATATTTATACCAGTCATGTGTGTGGTAAGCACAAAACAGGCAGTTTTTTCACGTGATCATTACTTCTAAAATCTACTTTGCTTAAAACAGTGATGTGCAACATTTTAAACTGAACTTGCTTGAAAATCTAAAATTTCTAGCTTTAATTTGAAATCTAGCATTCATCAAAAGAAAATTAGAGTAGTTGAATCATTTAGATCGTAATTATAAAAATACAAATTATAATGACAGTTCTTGAGTTGGCATTTAGAGGTTGAGAAAGGTCTACTTGCTCACAGCTTCACAGGTAGAGCTACAACAGTACAGTAGTGAACTGCCCGGAAACATGTCTTTCATTGGAAAGAAATTAACTCAAACCTCATTATAAGAAACTCACATCTGCCTTGAAATACTTCATTATATCAAGAAATTCCTTATAAACAATTATTCCTAACACTATCTGCGGCAAAGCTATTGTTCTTTTACTTCGTTATAACCAATAATTCGTTATATACAAATTGTTATTTCGAGGTTGGAGTGTTAATATATAGAAGAAATATTCCAATTCCATTTCAATGCCAAATAAAGTGCTAAATAGAGTGAATGTTGTATTCTTGTTGCACACAATTTCCATTATTTTTATCGTCCGTTCTTCCTTAATGATGTTATGCTTTAACAACACTAGTTCAAACAACACTAGTTCAAGATAGTGCTTGCTTATGAAGTGCCTCTTCATTTGACTGTGCAGGCCATATTCCTGTTCTCTGTGATCAAGTACCAACCAATTGTATACGCCAAGACATATGCATACCCGTGGTGGGGAGAGATGCTAGGATGGTTTATGGCACTCGCCTCCATGATCATGATTCCTGCGTACATGATCTATTTCCTCCTAACAACGCCTGGCTCCATACGAGAGGTAAGGCAACCGGTGCTGTATCACTTGCTAGGTTGCTAGTTATCCATCTAGCTGTCATATGTCATAGTTGATCAAAATTTTCTTACAACAAAAGTTTGCTGTATATTGGTGGCCTAAAGAGGTACATGAGTTGCTTTATTTAAGGGTCAATATTGTAATTATGCATCATTACAAAGTGAAAATACTTAACTGAAGCTTTGTAAGAATAGCATTGCAATATTCTCGCAAGTATTCTTATTACCCCGCCAAAAATGCAGGTAACCCTGATGCAGCAGAGCTAGAAGTACTGGCAACATGCACATACTACAGTGATATGTTCAATGTTAAAAAGGGATTTGCATTGTCTTACTGGTTATTCTAAGAATGTTTTGAACAGCATAGTTTGCTATTGACCTCTGTGGAAATGTATTTTGACTCCGGAATTTGTTGCTAGAAGTACCGATCATAATATTGTAGTGAGTATGAAATAACATATTTGAGACCAGGACAGAAAACTGCATTCAGTCTTTAACCACTTTCTGACCATAATACCATTCCGGAATCCAGATGTTTAATTCTCCTATTTTGCCAAAGCGGCCATCGTGTCAAATGTTATCAGTGTCATAGGGCTGCTACGACCACTCAGATTTGCTCAAAAAGCTTCCATAACATTATTCAATAGTGTGGTCGTCCAAAATAGCACTTTTGGTATTAGAACTAAACACAATGTTTACTCCAATGAATTAATGATTTGTGCCATCGAAGCTTACCTAGTCTTATTATCGTAGCACTAGTTGAACGTAGTACCAGTAGTTTCATATAAAAACATGGTAATGGTATACTGACGCACGCAAAAGACTATAGCATCAGTAGTGAGATTACTAGCACTTTTACATCACCTTTCTTCCAGTGGTGCACATAAGCAGAAAGTTACAGGTAGCCTGCGAGTCAGATTGCGTGATAAGAATGGTGTTGGTGAGGAATAAATGAACTGATGATTACAGTAACTAATGATCTTGCCTCATTGCTGCCTTGCAGAGGATTCTGGCAGGCGTTACTCCACAAGTGGCGGGACATAGTGAGAAAGAGGAGAAAGAGTACACGTTTAGCAACAGAGCCCTTCAGCCATAGATACTCAGGACCAAGTTCACCATCGACGAGATCATCATGCGTCACTTCATCTCATCAACCATCGCACCCATGCATTGTATCTATGCATCACCTTCGTGTACGACATCGCCTATTTTTGTGGATCAAGTGTGTCTTCACACTGCCTGCTCTACTCAACATCGCCAGTAAATTATAATGCAATGCACGTTCACACGTGAATGAAAACACTCTTTTCTTTTACATATAAAAGAATTCAAAAATCCTTAGCCCATGTCTCTGTCTTATTCTCAGTACCTAGAGATCATTGGAGGAAGTTCAGTAGTGCGACGTGTGCAATCTAAAGAAACATATAAATGGAATTCACCTCCTGTGAACCAAGCACATGTGCCTTGGAATAGTTATTAAAGCATGTTTGATGCCTCTTGCCATAATAGTTTCTTTAGAATTTAGTATTGAACATTAGTTAGCTGGATTTCAAAATGAAATTGTTTACGGTGGGGAAATTATGAGTTAGAAAGAAGATACAGGCATTACTGGGTGCAAATTAGCAAACAGTATTTCTTGTGTGCATCTTCTAAAATGCGATTTTATTGCCTTGAAAGAAATTGTCTCAGGCAAAGTGGATACAGTTGAGGACATGCGGCACTCTATGCAATTATATACCAAAATAGTAGCATTTTCTCTACTCAATACCTGCTTATTCAGGCGGTGGCTCAGTCGCTATAACAACCTGCTGCTAAACCTAGACTCCCATTCTCATTTAAAAGTCGCAATAACTATAATTAATGTTTCGTTGGCTGGGAGCTAAAAAAAAAAAAGGAAGCCGCACTGCGCAAAAACAGCACTCCCCATTAGTTGCGCTACCAAAGCGACAAGATAATGTTTAAAAATCCAAGAATTATTGCGGGTTAAAATTTTCTACGGACGCGGCCACAATTATCTCGCACCGCTGGAAAATTCCTCCAAGGAGCTTCCGTGCAAATTTCCTTATATGCCATTCGTCTGCACGAGCATGACACCTTTAAAGCTGGCTTTTCTGTAAGCCAACCGCTTATGGGAAGAAGCCAGATTTTGGGATCCTAATAAGCTGAGCAAACAGCGGGGATAATGGGAATGCGGTATGATAACAATACGGGCTTAACTGTCAGTTAGTTGAGTCGCGAGATGGAAATTTATTGTAGAAAAATTATTTATTAGTCAGTAAATGCATTTAAACTAAATGCAGACAGTACTGGCGTCATAACAGCAGATTGTCAACTGTTGCCCCATCACCAATTGTTTATTTATATACTGCAGCTACATGGGGCTATCGCAGGAGGGGGCTTATTCATTAGATATAACGCGAAAAGTTTATTCAGCAGAAATTCATTCAACTACTAAGGAGTCATGATTATTTCAAAAAGAAAGATTAAAAAGGCAGGAATACGTACAGCATGAGTCAAGTTAACTTATGCAAGAGAGATGACAACAAACCGTACTCCGTCGGGTAGTAATCCAGTTTTAAATCTTGCGAGAAAAGAAACAGCACACAGGCAAACCGTACTCCATTGGGTAGTAATCCAGTTTTAAATCTTGCGAGAAAAAAAAAACAGCACACAGGCGTATATGTGGTTTCGCACGTGCAAGGTTGTGTACGTTCCTGCTGGGTTTCAGTTTCGCCGTGATTGGTCAGCACTGGTCAAATAGGCTGGCCATCATTCAGACTGCACAAAAAGGCGTTAGCCATAATTCAATGAATGATATTCAACATCAGCCCATGCTTACGAGTGCAAGTAGCATGACAATATGATCTTTTAGGTCGCGTTACTCGTAAGGCGTCGTCATACTTCACTGTCTTCGGTATCGGCACGTCCTTTCATCACATATAATACCTCAAACGTCAACTCCTCCCCTATTCATTTCTTACATTAGGATGGTGCAGGAGCCCACCTAAGAAACTGTCTTCAAATTGTGAAAGGCTGTAAAAAAAAAAAGCCTGCGTCACAAGAAAACAGTGCTGGCAGTTCTCTCGCGCCAATTCAAGGTAGAGCGATTGCTGGCTGCCAACTATACAGGATGTCCCACGTAACTTTAGCCAGAGTTTAAAAATATGCCGGAACACGTAATTACGACGTGACCAAACGCGTGTTGCTCACCGTTGCCTCCAGTTAGACTATTTTTCGTGTTCTAGAATATTGTTTAATTAGATCTGTTTAACTAACTTTTGAAGGAACGAAATATATTGATACAAAACGGCCGCTAAACACGGCTGCATGAAAGAGGAGGACGAAGTCAGTTTTCGTTGGATGCTGGTCTGGCGCCATCTTACTCGTCGAGTAATATTAAGTCGTCGAGTAATATTAAGAATTTCAATGATAAAGTTGTAGATCGATTTGCAAAACGTCCAAATACATAATTTTGAACTTTATATCTGTTAAGTATTAGTGTTTTTCTGCTAATTACAAATGTCCGCGAAGTACAAAAGATACAACGTGGCAAAACCGCTCGTGCGCCAGTGCGCACGATGATTCTAATGCTCCTTAACGTTCCGCGTACAAAGTACACGCTTCTCTCGCACCGGTTCATGACAGTTGGACGTTTTGTAAACCGATCTACAACTTTCTCATTGAAGTTCTTTATTCATTCTCGTTCCTTCACACGTTTATTAAACAGATCTAATTAAACAATACTTGAGAACACAGAAAAATCGGCAGATCCCACGTACAGTAAGAATCGATGATATACGAAGCACGAATGAGAAAGGTTGATATGTCACTTCAAAATTAGCACAACGATACGAGGTGAAGGTAAATGATGTCGTACATGACTTTTGTGTCATTATTATCATGTTTGGGTGTGTCGTTTACCTTCGTCCCCTATTCACGTCACGTGATATCAAATTTAATATATGTGGAGTTAGCGAAATGACCGCGAGCACGCCATGAGCGTGGTATGTTGTCATGTTCTTACACGACACGCACGTCAGGACTACAATGTTCGCACCAGTCGTATACGACTGATGCGAACACCAGTCGTATGTGGAGCTAGCCAAACGTCCGCGAGTGCATCATGGAGGGCCCAATGTACACCAATGTAGCGTTGACGCGCGCGCACGCTCAGCACAGCGACGCTACGTTAGCAAAACGCGAGCACTCTATAGCCTGACACCAGGCGTGACCGGCACGACCAGCGTCCGTCGGCGCGGCCCGACGGCAATCGCCGCGAAATGCGACATGCTGCATTTCGTGCCAATGCGTTACCCAGACAACACTGCGTCTCCCTCATTTCGTGACGGAGGGACGCCGGGCGCTCTGAAACGCACATGCGTCAAAGCAACGCAGCGTGGCGCGAGCCTGCGAGTATATGGCAGGACTGGCGCCTGGCGGGGCAACGCCAGGCGTGACGCGACGAAATGAACGCCGGCGAGCACGTGCACCACGTCACGTCGAAATGTATTGGCCCCTTGACTCTGCATGTACTCATGTTCTTACATGACACACATCTCATGATTATCATGTTTGCACGAGTCGCATACCTTCGTCATCGATTCACGTGACATAATACCGTGTTTGATATATGTGAAGCTAGCGAAACGCCCGCGAGCGCATCATGAGCTTGGCATGTAGTCATGTTGTTATATGACACGCATGTCTTAATTTTCATGTTAGGGTCTGTCGCTTGTGTTCGCCATGCAATCATGCCATACCTTACCAGTTTTGCAACATGCCATGAGAACGAAACCATCGCAAGAGCTGCAGGACCGTGAAATGTAAATCATGATTTTCCTGACATCCATATCATGATTTCCATGTTATGACTACTCAAATATGTTCTTTATACAGTCATATTATGCCATACCAAGTTTGGTATTGATACCATTATCGAAACGGCCAGGAGAGCTACTAAAAGTCATTGGCGGCTCGACAGACAGA